CTCCAATACAGAATCGGGTGTTGTCCAAGCTGTCGTCGCCTTCTTTTGCCAGACGATTGCACTTGTGCACTGAAGAGCTAAAGTCTGGTATTGGTAATGAGACAGGTAATTAGACAGAGGTAGCTTCGGACTGAACCGTCCCACAAGAGAATACACTTGTAACTGAAACCTTTACTTGATGACGAAAACAACAAGAATCAAAAGTTGCTACAACGGAAATCTGGCTATTGATATGGCATGGTATGCAACTTAGAGTTGCGGCGTTTCCTACTCTGAGTCAAGAGGTCACATAGAGATCAAGTAATACCGTATGCTACCGTACTTATCGTGAGTCACCCACCTTCTAGTGAGCCGTGAGAAATCATGAAGAGAAAGAGATCATAAGTCACTGATTTCAAGGCATAAAATGTTAATATGAGCAATATCTATTTATGAATAATATACGCACATTATTAGGTACAAAATATGTTGTATTTACATGAGATCGGCCTATGCGGCTCTCGTGCTAGTGTCCTTTCCCGCACAGAGCTGAACAGCGGTTTTCTAAACGCACTGACTTGCCATATGACCCCAGCACTTTCAGTGTCCTTCTGACAATCCATTTACTGATATTTGTCTCTTCGGCGCAATCGAATTTAGCTTTGAAGTCGATGCAAGTAGGCTTGGAATCAGCCTGCGAAGTGTGAGCGATGCGTGTATTGAGAATAGACTCAGATTTAATCCAACGGTGTTCAGAATCTCGATAGCAGTCTTGATATCGCGAACCCGTTTGGGAATCGATGGTAGTATTCGTTGTGTTCCGGAAAACGGGAAAGGCGCACCTTTATGCCCACATTTTTCATGTTCATGGCAACTTTTTTTCAGTGCCGTCTTTTTCAAGAACACTGAGAAAGCGGCACTTTGCTTTGACACACAAGAATGCTCTTGCAAAATTTCTCAAACTAAAAAAATGTGAAAAATGCAGTCGCTGTCGACATTGAGTCAGCCGTTGTGTAAGCAGATTGCGAACTGTGCGCCGTATTCAAAGAAAAAAGCCGCTGCATCGTTAACAGGTAGGTATGGTAGGTATAACATGCCGGATTTCGAGACGAATCGCTGGTTTCAAAGTTTTGCGCGGAAAACCGCTTGGCCGAACACTTTTGAGCACTACTGTGTAAATAGGAGATGCCCTTTCTCAAATGAAAGAATTTCCAAAATTTGAAATTCTGTAAGCGTCTAGATGACGTGGGTGGAACTGATTGCCGGCATGACCTTAGCTTTGCAATCTATTCCATTATTGAAACGACCACTTTTTGTCCCCCACAACCGCCGCGCCTTTTTCACCTTCTCGTCTCTTTGAGTTTCAGAACACATCACCCCTCTGTTTGTAAGATAAGCTCTCCGAACCTTGACATTGGGTTACCCGTCATTCTTTCCTGGCCTTAGGGCAGCCGGCGAGTGGATTGGCACTTCATAGATATCTCTTGTTATAAGTAGAGGAAAGGTGCTTAGCATACTGTCATCTTGTAGTGAGTTTCTATTGTTCCAGTAAATTCCCTTATTTATACCTTGCAAGATCTTTGAGGGACACGACAGACGATCGAATGTGTTTATGTATGCCAACGATTTTGTGCTGGGTGGTTTTGCGATCTTTGGCTTGATCGTAGAAGCACTGCATGGTCGGGCATTCATCGCTTAGAATTTCAGTATGACTCTTTGGAATTGTAGGTGCAAACCATTTAGAGTGAATTAAGATCAGGGGCGTCACCATATAAGTGTGGCCGTTCCACTTTGCAAATGACGTTCTAATCATCATGTTTTTCTTGAACTGTCTACCGTTGACGAGGTGTTGGTTCAGCCGATCTACGCTTATGTAAAGTCGGGTGGTTAGTTTTTTTTTGCGAATTCATCTGGACAGGCCGGCTCTTCTTAACTTTCACATCCAACGACTGTAAACTGCACAGATGGGGCGGTGTGGCGTAGGCAGCGCACTTTTACCACACATACCTCTTGCTAATGTTACGATACTTCATGCCTACTAAAACAAGATTGTCCAAGATGCGTCGCCATCCTGAGTGTCTTGCAGTAATGCTTACACTTCTTTTAGCGATGGCATGTGGTTATTCCTCGTGAAACTCTCGTGGCTCCACAGGACACATCAATATTTGTCTTACAGATGAGGTACTGGTCACTTTCAATCGTTCTGTTCCTACGATTTTCAACGATCTCTTCTTTACCGTTGGAGTGTCGTGAATTATTGTCGTGCTCTATCAGAGAAGGCTGTGTGAATGTGAGTCTCCTAGATGTTTCTAGTTCCTTTTGTATTCTACGACGCGTTTTATGTTAGGTCTCAAGCACAAGTGGCTACTTCTAACTCTAGAAAATCAAAGAGGAGATTGCTAGAGCTTCTTCCGAGAAGTTGGTGTGGCACTGTATTGAGTGCGAGGAGACTTGGTCTTGGTTACTATTTACACTCAATGTTTTTTGACGACATCATTGCAGCTCCCATGGCTCACGGGCAAAATGGAAAATGCAAACATATCAGCACAGATGTACAACGATATTGACACGGTAGGTCAGCCATAAAATTTCTATTATCGAAGCCCTCTTCCGATATCTTCCCTTCGGGTAGAAAGCGCTTCACAATAGTTGAGTTAAACACCGCCGACTCTCTGGAATAACCATCGTTTACGAATACACAAATAGGTCGGTGAAACCCTGTTCTACTCTCAAGGTGACTAAGTACGTGTTGGTAAGCGATAGATACGAACATTCATATAGATCATCTTTGGCAGTTGGCACGATAAATCGCTATACAGGTGTAGGATTTGTACAACTGGCTTAACAGAATTCCGTGACCTCGGACAGGCGCTGCGTGAAGCCTTTTCCAAGGAGGGTACCTCTATAACGCCCTATTGAGCAACAACTTTACGTCCCAAACGCCTTCCTTGCCCGCCCGCCCACAAACGGACGACCGTTTCCTGACGCTCGTCATTTGCTAAGCAAATTATGAAGCGAAGGGATTGGTATGAAGCGGCCGTGATGCTGCATGCATATATGGGTACACATGCAGCCGTATCTTCGGTAGCGGTGATTGGTAAGATGCGGGAAACTCGTCCGAAATCGATTTACAAGTCACTGAGAACGGAGGCTTTTTCTTCGCCGGATTTTGACCGTTTCACTCCGTTCTTTCGCCATTTCCCCACTATACAGCGCCCTACTAGCATTTTAGGCTAAGTAGGAAACCATCGTGCCAACTGCCTTTAATAGATGCAAGACAGTCGAAAAGGCTAAAGCTTCCCTAGGCTGAATGAAGATTTTGAAAACAGGCTTTCTGCAGTCGTTGATCCGTTCATTAGCGTAGAGCCAAATCCGCATTAGAAATTCCTTACCAAGTTATCCAGGTATGACGCCATTTCTATTGAGTACTATTCAAAGCAGTGGTGTTGTGGCGAATGGCCAGCTCCCCACGTGCCGGTCAATTTCCGAGTCAGCTTCTGCGCGAAGAAGGCACCATCGGCACCATACAAAAAATCTGTGGAAAAACGCCAGTTTTCCTCTCTCCGTGTCCAATTTTGGCGCTTTTCGTAGATAAGTTTCCTGTATATGGTGGGCGGTTCGTATGCATGATAGTACAGATGATAGAACGTGCCGATGAGGCCGGGTTTGGCGCGCCGCCAGAACACCAGTTGTTGATGCGTTTAAGTGACAAAACTGGTTGCAAACGACTGATACGAACGAATATGATAGAGCCTTGTCGCTTGCCTTCTCCAAGAATTGGTGGAAAAAGGCAGGAGCCGTGTCAGACCCATCCTCCCACAAACCATAACGAAAAAATTGTCTAATCCAGCAACCTGAGAAGTGCCTTACACTGAGATCCTTCTATTCTATAAAATTGTTGCTGCCAGTTTGGCTGCCAATGTACAGAATGCTTTTTCGCTTCATTGGGTGCAATGTTTCTCGAGAAATTTACTACTATTGAATCAGAAAACCAATAGGTCAGGCAATACCGACGTTGCGATTGTGAATACAGTTGCTCAAATATAGCTCATACTGCAACTTACTTCCTGATTTCTCTGAAACACATTTGTGCATTTTCTCGTTCCTCCTGGATTTCATTGTTCACCTCTCCTTGGTTATAGAGAGAGCCCACCAACAAAGAAGTAACAATGCTATTGATGATGTAGACTGGGACTATTTGCAAGACATGGAAGGGAAGCAGAAAGTGAAAACACCAAAAAAAAGGCTGATAAGAGAGGTCAGAGTGTAAATGCGGTGTGCAAAAACTCCGTCGCACTGCACAGCAGCGGAAGATCATGAAACGCCTAGGAATGATTGATATTCATGGAGCAAAGTAGTTGGAGACCCCTGACGCACACTGTCAGTAGTGTGCGCAAAAAAGTACTGGAATCGTAGAATAAAAACCGCTAACAACGCTTGACCGTGGGGTTGCTGGCTTGGTCATCTGCAAAAACCGCAGTATTGCTGGATTTATGGAGCCGGCAAAAGAAAAGTTTTCGAAGTCCCCGTTCAACGAAACAGTTTTGCTGGACAGATCGTTGGTCCGCATTGTAAAAGATTCACGACCAGATGGCTCTCTGATCTTGTAGAGATGTTGCTCACCTGCAGTGCTCTTGTTCAGTGGCCACCCGGAGTTAAGGAATCTCAGGCGAGGAAGAATGAAATCTTTTATTCCGAAGCTGAAGCGCAAAACATTAGTATGCTGAAAATCAATGGATACCAGATGTCGCAGAATCCCACAGTCGATTTCCTGAAGCTGTCCTATTAATGACTCATTCTTGCTATTGACATACTATCGTTCCTGGCGATGTTTGTTTCTGTGCTGACCCTCGACAAAGTCGTCGAATTAGCCGTACATCTCCAATTGATTATTGGAAGAATTGAAAAGGTTATTGGAAGAATTCAATGGAAGAATTGATTATTGGAAGAATTCAAAAGGGCCAATGACCGCTACCGAAAGTGCGGCTGCATATGTGTACCCATATATGCATGCAGCATCACCGCCGCTTCATACCAATCCCTTTGCTTCATAATTTGCTCAGCAAATGAATGAATACGAGCGTCAGAAACGGTCGTCCGTTTGTGGGCGGGCGGGCAAGGAAGGCGTTTGGGACGTAAAGTTGTTGCTCAATAGGGCGTTATAGAGGTACCCTCCTTGGAAAAGGCTTCACGCAGCGCCTGTCCGAGGTCACGGAATTCTGTTAAGCCAGTTGTACAAATCCTACACCTGTATAGCGATTTCGTGCCAACTGCCTTTAAAGGTTAACAGTAGCTTTTAAAACACTCCGAGATTGACAAAACTACCTCAAAGAACTGATGTCCTAACGGCTAAGATTTCCCAGGGTTGGTAGAAGCAAAATACTTCTCCAGGGTGTGAATATTTCATATTAGGCTGGTTTTGGCTATTTTTGGCTGAACTTGTTGAGTTGAATACCTAATTCAAACGCACTGCTTCCATTATAGAAGCCCAGGGCACAGCGTTCGATGGGGATTCCCTATGGGGGGGTCGTATTTGGCCGCCAAAAGGGGGGTCGTATTTGGGCTGGGAAAAATTTATTTTTATAGTTGATTTTTCTCGCTTTGCGGACGTTTTGGAGGGGGGGGGGTCGTATTTGGTCGTTGGGAGGGGGGTCGTATTTCTGGCTAGGAGTTACGTGGTTCACTTCATGAGTTTTATGAATTTTCTGTGTTATAGGTACTATGTAGCTCGACAACTTTTTCGCCGAGTATAAACCACAACCACAGTCAGCCATGTCAGCCATCGTACGAGCATGGGGGGGGGGTCGTACCAGCCCCTGAAAAAAAGGGGGGGTCGTAAAAGCTCGACCAAAATCCCCATCGAATGCTGTGCCCGGTTGGAGCACAGAGCACTTGTATTGTAGACGTGGTTCCACCCAAGCCCACACATATCCTACCCCTTTCATTCTGAGCAAATGACATTAAACGTGTTTCAAAGGAAAGGCTCTGAGTAACAGAAATTTGATGCTCGCATTCTGCTGTAGTGGTCAAACGAGCAAAGCACCCACGATTCTGAATAATATCACACCTTCTTGCCCCGAGAGGTAGCAGAAGTGTTGACGTATTACATTCCAGGCAATAGACTACACGTGCATCTTCACTGTCGGTTGCCCACGAGAGTGCACAGCTTGTAACCTTTGCCATAATTCCAAACTACAAGTGCTCGACGTGCTCTCTGGAAAAGCAAGAAAAGGTATGTTATAGTTTGATTCACTTTAGAGAAGATATTATGGTGAGAGTTGAGTTGAATCAATGTTTGCGAGTTATAGGTAAAAAGCTGAATGTTCTACCGCTAAGCGGATCATGTGGCTATCGCGTAGATCTTTTCCCACTTTTAGCACGACCCGACTTTTAAGGGCCATGTCATTGGATAATGCTCGGCAAACCCTCGCATACGGTGCAAAGCATCACCCAAACACAAAACATAAGTGAAATAAAATCAAAACTAGAAAAGAGAATATAGATGCACTAGTTACTGATCATCTTGAAACATACCTCACGGCGGTTTCTCTCGAAATCCAGGAGCGGCTCTACCGAAGACTCATACTGCATCAGCAGCATTACACTTTCTATGGCAGTGTCGTATCGCCCTTTTTACAAGTGATTGCCATTTATTCCACTTTGCGATCACAAACTCGGAAGAACCCACTTTCAGGCTATGTGGAACCACGTTGTGCCTGCCATTGCCCTTTCCCTCTCACCGAAAGAGCATAACATTTCATAGCTTTGTTCCAACATGGTCCAGCAAGAGGGATGAGCAACCTCTCCTGCTTCATATCACATGAACAACTGAAAGTGGCTTTGTCGTGTCGGAACAGATAGGGGTTGCCTGAAAGTGGCTCCTCTTGAGCACATAGCGGTTTTTTAGTTTCCTTCTTTTAGTTTTCCGGTGATTCATACGTTGACCTGACCTTCACGTTGTAGGACCTTTTCTTCTGCAGGACATTCTTTCCGACCTTTTCTCTGGAAACAAAGACTAACACAATCATTCATTAAGGGAAATGTCCTGAACTCATCAGCTGTGCCACCGAGTGCCTTGCGCAAAGCAACAACATGTCGTCAATCAGCCACTGTCTCCGTCGAAAGTGCGCCTTCTACTGCTTTAATGGTTCTTGCCCGAAATGCTCATCTTTTGTTACAAAGGTAACTTTGTTTTTCGTCAATCTAAAGTGGAGAAGATGGTGCTTTAGCAAACGGCCTCGTTGTCACACCCTTGGAAACGCTTACCTCACAGTCCTCAGGTACGAATAACACAGTGCCAGTCCCGGTGAAAAGAAAAGGGTGTGTCATTTGAATGAGTGGGCTCAGTGGTTCCCATTTCGTAACAGCTGTCAGTCGCCTACACAGCTCCAATGTTGCGATAGCGAACCCTCTACTTACCGCTTTCCCTCCTCTCCCCACAGGAACGCTAACTCTGTGAAGATTAGCAAAGAACCTTGAATGCTTATCGGCTCAGAACTCATCACTTAATGGAGCCGGTGGATTTACACAGTAGTCTGTTCCTTCAGCACGTTCCAACCTACGGGCTTCGCAATTAACAGAAAAAGCCATGATGACCAGCTTGGAAGGTGATGATAGGGCACTATCAATAGCTCAACATTATCGACAGACTAGAAACTACGAGGAAATTAAAAATAAGGAAAACTGCAACGTTCCTTTCCTTGTCATTTTTAGTGATTTTTCCAGCTGTTCAACCAGATATGCATCTCTGGCTCACTCCGTGACAAAGTGGGATTCCAGGTGAGGCTTTTCAAACCTGATTTTTCGTATTGGACCTATCTGCCTCGAGTGTTTACAGGAATTTATTTTATATTTAGATATTTTCGTAATTAATCAGAGGTTGGGTGAAGAGAATAGGACGGGTGAAAACCTGCTGTTTCGCTAAGTCTATTTTTGGGGGCCAGAATGTAAAATAGATCCACATATGTTTCACATGCACCTTCTAGAAAGACAAAGTGCCGCTGAAATACTTTGTTGTGCTCTGTATATGGGGTTGTGAGGATATTGTTTGATATAATAGCAGGAAGCAGGAAGGTACAACGGACAGTGCCATTATTCGATCACCAAGCCACTAACCAGTTTTAAAGTTTTGGTCAAATGCCTTTTTCAGTTTTACAAATGCGTGTACAGAGAATTTGTGAGACCTTGATATCATCGAGATTGCCCGTATTGCACTCTATAAGGTGTCCGGGAAGCTCCTTTCCCACCTTCGATCCTTCCGTCAAGTTCCTCTACACATCAGCCCTTAGCTATCCTTCGCAGAGAAGGGAACAGCGAGGGGGGAGGGGTCATTCAGTACCACTGGTAGCATCGAGAGTGATCCTAGAACGATTTACGCTCCCAGTCGGCAGGAGTACTAACAGAGTTCCCAGAATGGAATCTCGTGCGTAAAATAGAAGAATAAAGCGCCTAGCAGTGTTTGCAAGGGGAACATGGGTGCACGCTGCACATCAGCAGCTGGCCAAGAATTCAAGTGTCATCGATAAAACGGGTTCCACCGCGATTCAATGGTCTCCTACGTCGTTAGTTTTTTAAGTGACTCGCGATTTTTACACACACTCGAATCAGCTGTAATGTGTTCTATTTCTGTTACTTCCAGCCCGGGTAGTCGGTGTAGTGCAGTGCGAAAGTCGTTTCGGAGCTTAGGTTACAGTCATAGTTGTCCTTTTCTCCACAAATTAATGAAATAAATGAGATTTCTGCAGACCATGAGCTATGTTTGGTGTGAAGAAATTAATTTTCTTCGAAGGGCAGCGCTCAAATGTCACCAATGTAGGCCAAGATGGACTGAGCGAGGCTAGTAACCCGCCCAAGATGGAATATGAATGAATGTGCCCCTCGGCTGCTGCTAGAACTTCTTCTAATACCGGGCATTTTGATGGATTGGAGTAAATCACTCCTCCAAAGTTCTGGAAAACTGCCGGAAACCCACAATGAGAAATGTGGCACGTGCTGCCGGTGGAATTATTTCTTATAGTGACCACATTTTCCACCCTTTCCTCTTGTTTTTTTGCACGCAGTCTGGAAAATAGAAGCCTGTATGATTTCTATGTAAGGTGCTTTTCTATTCAAATTTCCTCATGTCTCCGGAAGTTTTTGAGTTTTCACATCTCTCTATTTAGGGTCAATGTCCGGAGTTGTTCAGTGCGATCGTATATGCTAAATTTCAAGAACAATTCGACAGCGAGCAGACAAGGAAATGAGCTCGATTCCAACAATATAGATAAACAGCTGCTTCAGTCGTTTTTAGCAAGCGTTGTCGAGCTCAAAATATCTACCGTGCCCTTCTTATAAGCAACGAAGTTGTAAAATCACACAAAACAAGAGTGAGCAAGGAGTGACTTTCTTCTGTAGCGAATGAGTGTATTATTGGTAGGTACAGTGTATATACTTAGTAACTGAACTAATGTAGATTCCCTGATGTTCTTCTTATGAATCGCAGACAGTGTAATACTTTGCAGTTTAATTTTAGTTGCTGGTCCTTTTTTCTGTTTTCTATATCTTATGTCCTTCATTTCGAAACTTCTAGGATTTTGTAGACTGTTTCTTTGTTGTTTCCTGTGATTCCAACTGTGCCTTATTTACTGGCCAACTATTTATTAAAGCCATTTCTATGCTATCTAATTCTATGTGGTGATGATGGTAGTTGTTGAAAGGAAGAAGCGCGGAAAAAAATGCGAAAAAAAACCAGTATTGAAAAACTATTTTCAGACATGGACTGTATGTATACTCTTTATCCCTGAGACGGGGTAGGCGTGGCATTCGAACATGGCACGGAACTGGTTACTCGTGGGATATTTAAATTTCAGACAACCGCCATCTTGTTCTTTGTTGGAAAAAGACGTGACCACATTTGGGTCAAAATGAAAATGTCTTTCCAAGAGCACAGCCACCACGACGTTTAGTTGAAGTACGCAGCCACGCCTACCTCATCTCAGGGATTTCGAGTGTACAACATAGGAAAGTCAGCACACAAATACGCGACTATCATCAAAAGGCCTATTTCCGCCCCTAGTATAGAGGAATTGTACCAAAAGCAAAAGCTCTAACAATACCAATGATGTGTCGAATGTAATTCATGGGTCAGACATGTTTCGAGTAATCTTAGTACTTTCTTCGGCCCTACGTATTCTCACGTTCCGATTATGATAGTAGAACAAATCTTCCAACATACATTCGGTCTTCTCCATAACTACTTCGTATATCTGCAAAGCCAAGTGTTGTCTTGTTGGAGCAATGTAGCAATGCCTCTTAAAAAACGAAAAAGTTGCACAAAAAAAGTTGCCGTGAATAATAACACTCGCCTACTTGGAAGGGGGCTGAGTACCTAAAGAAGATGGAATATCCAAGTAGGTCACCTGACCTGAATCCCCTCAATTACCCGGTTCGGGCGGAGTTCAATAGGGTGGTCTACGGTGGCGGAGAAATCGACTCGCTGATCTCAGGCACCACATTGGCTGTCGCGTCCCAGAATCTCGATGGCGCGTCGTCCAGAGGCTCTGGCGGGGTGTCATGATAGTATATATTTGATATGCTCTTTGAGATGGTGGTGGGAATTGTCCGATCAGAAGTTAATAAAGTGTAACTTATCAAAAGTCAGTGTGTCAGTCAGGAAGTCAAGGAAGAAAAGCGACTTTTTTTATTGGCCGCCACCCCTGTATATGCCCACTGGAATCCTCCACCGATCGAACACCATAAAATTACATTGTGGCTGCCAACTTGTAGACGAGTAGATGTGTAGGGGGAAAACAGCTACCGAAACTTTTTTTTTCGTTGAACCAAATACGTCACCTTCTTCCCAACAACCAAATAAGAACTACTCCTAACATTGAGGTATTTACAACTAACGCGTGTTGTGTGTGTGTGTGTGTGTGTGTTGTGTGTGTGTGTGTGTGTGTGTGTGTGTGTGTGTGTGTGTGTGTGTGTGTGTGTGTGTGTGTGTGTGTGTGTGTGTGTGTGTGTGTGTGTGTGTGTGTGTGTGTGTGTGTGTGTGTGTGTGTGTGTGTGTGTGTGTGTGTGTGTGTGTGTGTGTGTGTGTGTGTGTGTGTGTGTGTGTGTGTGTGTGTGTGTGTGTGTGTGTGTGTGGTGTGAGGCCCCTCTATATTCTCGTCATCCGGGCAGTTGATTAGGGCGGTCGTCAACGGGCCGCAGCGCGTGCCAGGAACTATTTGCTTTTTCCAGGCTAATTTAGTCATTTTTTCCACCTTGTGAAGATAAGGAGCTGCTAATCTGGGAAAAAGTAGCCAAAACAGTGAAAAGTTGGAAAAAATGACTAAATTAGCCTGGAAAAAGCAAATAGTTCCTGGCACGCGCTGCGGCCCGTTGACGACCGCCCTAATCAACTGCCCGGATGACGAGGGTATACGCCGGTATCAGTTGTCCGAATACAGCGGGATGGAATTGCATTCGCCTGGGAGGATAAGAGCATTGATTTGTACATCGGCTGACCGTGCGAGTCATTATGTAGGCTAGATATTGCCTACCACTCCCCTATCGCACTCATTGAGCCACTACGATTCTGAGTGGAAGTGCAATGCATGCCGCATCCCCTCATCTCGAACGCTTTATCCTTTCGTCCTTTACCTATTTATTGCCAGTGTTTGTAACAAATCAAGTCAAGAACTCAATCAAACAATAAATGTGTCACTTTCATTGAAAAAAAATGAATTTATTTTCTTCCAGACCTAAGGACATTTACCGTTCACATTGCACACACACACACTAATTACAGTATCTGCATGTCTTCGGACACTGCTGTTTCATCAGCTCCACGTATCCGGGGTAATTGCAGTAATAGATCAGTTTGTAACAGTCTGATCTGCCAGTTTTGGGATTCACCAGATCTTGGCATCCTGAAATTGAAGAGCATAACAGAGGCTAGCCGCTAAGGCTTTTTCTTCTTGGGCGCACAATTATGGGAAGAACAGGTTATATGGTGATCCTAGTAATGTCAAGCAGCTATAATTTACCATGTAAAGTCGTCATGATTATCCGGCAAGGGATGCGGCGCGGCTGCAGCGCGTCACGATCGCTGCGATCAGCTGTTTCCAGCCTAATTTAGCAATTTTCTCCTTAGTTTTCACTGTTTTTGGCTGTTTTTTCAAGGTCAGTTGCTTTATTGTCTTTGTAATGGAGTGTTTTTCGCGATTTTCTTAGGTGTTTGTTTAATTGTTTGTTTAATCGTCTAATTGTTCGCAAAAGTTAGAAAAAACTCAATCATAATTTATCTTGTGAAGACAAGGAACAGTTAACCTTGAAAAAGAACAGCCAAAAACAAACACGAAAAAAAACAGTGAAAAGTAGGAAAAAATGACTAAACCAGGCCGGAAACGGCTGATCTTCGCACACAGTTCCTACGTACATACACTTCTTATCCCTGATAAGGAGTAGGCGTGGCTTTTGAGCATGGCATAGGACGGGTTTCTCGTGGGATACTTCAATTTGAAACAACTGCTATCTTGTTCTGTGTTAGATGTAGACATGATTACGACTGCTCCAAAATGACAATATCTCACGAAAACCTGGGCCGCCGCCATTTTAAAATCAAGTACGCAGCCACGCCTACCCGATCTCAGGGATTTCGAGTATACGCGGTCGCTGCTGCAGCCGCGTCTCCGCCCCTTGACGACCGCCACAATCAACTGCCCGGATGACGAGTGTATGTCACGGCGAAGGAAATTCACTTCTCTGGGGCTGAGTAGAGAATGGACTTTTATACTTGATAGGGCTGAAGAACTCCGCTGAACTAGGAGTGTTTTCAGAGTAGCGGTGTCGGTGTCATTTTCTAGCAGGTCTCCATAAGAGGTGCTCAAGAGTTTAAGGCCTAATGCGGTACCCATCTCAGTTTCTGGAACAAGCTGACACTGTAAAATCTCGCTAGGGATGGTTTACCTGGGCCCCTCGTCAAGTTCCCATTAATAGGTCTAAAAGAAGGTTTATAACCATGTGAGTATTGGCATCCTAATCTTAAGTATCTTCTTATATCTTGTATATTAAGTATGATCGTAATTTCCCATAGTAAAAAATGATTCGAACCATGTATCAAATACCAACTAAATGAGCATTTTTACCTAAGTTGGGCTGGATGAACGACTGGCAAATTTGGCTCACCTGGGGATGCTGTGGCGGCCTCTTTACATCTTCCACACGTTTTCGGACATTGCTGCGTCATAAGGTTGTAATATGCAGGAACGTTGCAGTACGCTTTTAAGTGTGGACAGTCAGATCTGCCAGTTCGAGGATGCAGCAGATCTTGGCAATCTTGAAGATACATTATTTTGGCGATTCAATCAAAATTAAATGATTTGTAAAGTGGACGGCTATTCCTATACGGGAAAAAGCTTAGAGATTACGAGATTACACCAAGTAGTCGGCTAAATCATAGTCTGTGAAAGTTCTTCCGACATGAACAGCGATCGATCGAACATGGTGGGCAGCCGAAATGTATCGCTGTCTACCACTTACCCATCTGTTTGCTCTGTTAGTTACATATGTGATGGAAAAGATTTACCCAATTTCTGGAGATTTTCAAGGATCATCGAAATAACAGAGATGTTGTGAACATGCTGATAGGCAAATTTCATATTTTGACTCGCGAAACAACGATGAATTCTTAGAAAATGTTTCACAGCTCATAAGGTCGAACCCACCTGTGTTTGGATCAACTGTGCTGGCGGGGGTTCCTATTCCGATCTGTAACTATTAAAAATAAGGTAAAAATGAGCAATAACTGGAATTGTTTCCCGATTATCTCTGAACTGCGTTTCGCAGCTCCGATTATGTTTCCGACAAATGAGTGAATAGATAATCTTAAAGGCAGCTCCCACGTTCATTTGATGTTCCCGCGCCCTCTCTGGATATCATAGCCCTCCCTATGAGGATGCAGTATGTACTAGTTTTGCATCTCAAAAAGGCGAGAGGATAGCGCCGTTCGCTAGTGAGTCGGCCGCCCCGCCCACCTGGCCAGCATAGGGTTCTATATAGGGCATTTTCCATGATTTTTTTTTCTGCTTTTTTCCTTCACTACTGGATCACGTATTATATGAGCTCAAACAACTCATTACT